TAACCCGTCCCAACGTTCCAGGAGCAGCTTTCCAGAGTCGGACCCGGGCGACACGCTTGTGCCTCGGTCTCGCTCCGGGAGCATGCTATGGATTGCGGAGGGGAACCTCACGCCGGTGCTCATTCACGGCCAGAGGTCCACGCTCACATGACCAAGAACGAAGTGCATGTGCACCAACATCAATGTGAGCACTCCGAACTTCTACCAGCATAACATTTTGCCCAGGGTTATTGCTGGTCATCGCGGCGAAGCTCCGTGGAGCAAGGCCTGACACGCGTCTTTGCTCCAAGGCCCAGACCAGGGGGAGGAGACGGCTGTACAGGAGAGGCCTTTCGCCTCAGTCCGGAAAAAGGAACTTTCCATGAGGACCTTGAGCTGCTCAAATTTTCTTTCAGCCTCGTTGCGCCTCTCTTCGTTGTACTCCTGCTCCTTCGGCACGGCCTCCCGTTTGCAGTCGTTAATGTGGTTTAGAGCGTCTTGATACAGTCGGCCCTTTTCTTCTGTGCAGTTGACTCACGATGGCGTCGCGGAGGGCCAGCCGCCTGTTGCCTGCCTTGGCTTGCTTGTTGAAGAGTGGAAGGCGTCGCGGAGTGGAGGAGCAGGGAGCGGCCGCCGCAAGCCAGCCGCGCGGAAAAAACCGGCTGGGCAACGAGGCAGTGATCTACCACCAAAGAAGGGCGGCCCAGTCGGACAACAGGCGGGCAAGATTGCTCGCTGTGCTCGAGGCGCTTCTTTTGCAAAGCCAAGCTAGCCTGGGGGGGCGCAGGAACTTGACTCGGGTTCTAAAGGCGCTGTGGGCGCACGAGGAGAGTGCGGACATCTTCGAGGCGGCGTGCCCGCCAACTCTATAATTCGGAGGAGGCCGACTCCCGTAGGTGAGTAGCAACTGGCTGTCAGATGGCAGCGGAAGCAGTCCAACGCAGCTAGGTCAGGGGCATCTTCCACGCTTGCCACTCTGAGCCATCCAGCCAGAAGAGCACGTGCAAGTGCGGCCGGCCACTGCCATGGTAGCGCTGCGTGCCCGCCTTCTTGCTGCCATCTTGGAACTCCACACGCGTGAAGACATGGAAGCTGCCGGCGGGCTCGCGACAACGTTGTCTTGTCTCCCGGCGTGCCGGGCCACAAAGCCGCGGACCGCCTCCAGCATGCAGCGCGCAATGTGGAGCGTCTCGTGCGCGGGGGATCGCAGCTGCTTGCGGAGCTCATCCAGCAAAAACTCGCTGTAGGGAAAGCTGAGCTCGCGCGGCGCGAAAGTCCAGTTGTGCTGCGGTGGGCCGATCTGGCGGACACGGCCAACACGGCGCGCCAGGTCAGCGGCGACATGGGATGTTGGGCCATCATCAACCGCATCTTTCTGCCTTGGCGCTCCGCCATGTTCCTCTTCGCGCCAGGTCGTGGACGAACTGCAGGAGGGCGGAGTTGGACCCGTAGCCAAGCAGCTGGTCCAACAGCTTTGCGCGGAAGCTGCGCTTTATGCTGTGGCCGTCGCGCAAGTCGAGGAACTCGTGGTGATCTGCGTGGAACTTGCGGTAGGCGTTGTCCCCGCCGCGCAGCACACGCTGCAGCGCTGCCTTGGCACGCCTCCGCTCGCTGCGCCTGGGCAACTCCGCGATCTTCTGCTTCACCGTCTTGGTTGCCCACATGAAAACCGGATCATGCGGACGTGCTTCCTGTAGCCATGGTCAGCGCAGCTCTCCGGGCCGAGGTCAAAGTCCAGGAGGCGCAGCGCTGCGGCGGCGGCCTCGCTCAAACTTAGCAAGGGCTCTGGAACATCTTCCAAGCACGCGGAAGTCCAGGGTCGCGCCTGCAGGATGTTGCAAGTGGGGCACACCCCCCACGCCCCGCGCAGACACCACTTCTGCAAGGCGATGGACTCGCGGGAGTAGCTGGCCGCGGGCAAGTCGGGAGACCTGCGCTGCTCTGGCCCGTCTTGGCGCGTCGGGGTAGAACTTTCTCTTGCCCAGCCGCCGCTCGGCCACCGCCGTAGCCCGCCAGGCTGCGTGGGTCGGCGCAGGCCCAGCGGCCTGACGCTGCGCAATGGCTGGGAAGCCCGGGCCGCGCTCACCCGCTCCTCTCGGGCCGCCGCCCGTGTTTGTTTTGGCTGAGCCCTCTGGGGTCGCCGCCTTTGCGCGCAGCTTTTTAGCCTTGGACCTGAAATGCTTGCGCAGCCTTGCAGCAACTTCAAGTAGTGGCATACGGGGACACACTCAGGCGGCAAGAAAGATCTGGTGGCTCCCAAGCTCGGGGCAGAGCCGCCCAAGCAACTCCAGCAGTACATGGAGAGCGCGTGGTGCGCGGACAGCATGAGCTTCCTTGAAGTCCACGAACGACGGCGACATCGCGCAGTGCATCAAGCAAGCCTACAAGATGCAACACTCTCCGACTTTGCGAACGAGACGCCTTGTCGTGGTCAGATCGCGGTGGCCACGCAGTACCTGTGGCGGCTCAACGACACCTCTACGGCCAGTGGCTACTCATGAATGTGCCGTTCCGCGACTAT